TATAAGGGAGGAGTTGGGCTTGTGCATCTTCTCCCAGCTGGGCTCCTTGACTCTCAGGGCAGGAGAGACTTTGGTCCTGCTAGGTGCATTGCTGGTGGCCTGGGTGTAAATGTCTGTGAGCCACACTGCTTCCACGGTGCCTGGGGGTTGGCCAGACAGATCCTTCAAAACACACCCTGCTTGCTGCGAAAATGCCAAATTAACTGTCCGATGCAGGGAAAGTACTGTGTTGTTAAGAAATCTGAACTAATTTAAGGGAACAAAAGGAAGTAGGAAATAATATACTCAGGAATGCACGCAAGTGCACCGTATAAAATGAGGCACACGGCACTTTTTGTCGTAACAGAGCAAATGCATAATTACGTGCATTTGTGCTTTTTTGACAAGAAATAACTGAATTTTAACCTTCATACAACTAACACATACTGCATTTGCAGTACGAAGGTTAAAATGGACAGTAATTTCTTGATGGAACATGGCCGCTGCATAGATTAGTGGTCTGAGCATGTGGCTTGGAGGTGGGTGTCTCTTCGGGGGCAGTGTGTGGCTCAGTGGGCTAACCCTCTGTGCTTGTGATCAGAAGGTCACCAGTTCAAGCCCAGCATTGGCATGTCTGCACATCCTTCAGCAATGTCCTGACCCAAGAATCAAGAAAGTCCACTACTCAGCCAAAAAAAAAAGTTGCCATTTGAATTTTTCGTTGGACCGCCTTTAGCTTTGATTATGGCGCACATTTGTCATGGCATTGTTTCCACAAGCTTATGCAACATCTCACGCTTTATTTTCATCCAGATTTGCATGCATTTCTCACCGAGATCCTGTTTTGACAAAGTGAGTTGAACCACTCCATAAAGCCTCCTTCAGCACATCCCAGAGACCTTCAACTCTGTGGTGACCAAGTCACGCGTGAAAATGATTCCTCAAGCTTCCTGAACCACTCTTTGACAATTCGAACCCGGTGAATCCTAGCATTCTTGTCCTGGAATATGCCCATGCCAACAGGGAAGAAAAAATCCATTGATGATGGATGGAGGTGTAACCTGGCCATTCAGTAGATTCAGGTTCTCAGCTGCATGTTGCTGGGCTGTAATAGTGATCCAGTCATTGACTCTAAAGTATTTGCTGATATAAATTCAAATGGCGACCTTTTTTTTGGCCAGGCAGTGTATTTATCATTATTTACAAGTGTCGTGACAAAAAACTTCCATGTCTACTGCTGTATGTGGCAAACATGTGCTTGACATCATTTATGTGCATCCCTGAGTATAACCCTTTGTTTTGGCGATTCAACAAAAAAATATTGTCCCATTTTTGTACCAGAAGTTCATGACGTAATATTTTTAGCGTCAGAAAGGACGTGTTAAGTGGCACGTCGGGTGTGGGATGATGGGACATGGGAAGGACATCCACCACACGCCTCCTGCCTGAAGACAAGCTGAGGAGCAGAGCCATGGGCTTCCTCACCCAGTCCAAAGAGAATGTAGTACGCTCGCTGCTTGGTCACATGCAGTTCAGGCCCAATGAGTTTGCCTTGAGTAGTGACGTTAAAGGTTACCGGGTGTCCAATAGGCCCGCCGGACACCCCCGACAGTAGCAGTAGCGAAAGATCAGACGCCTAAGACAAAAAAGGGTGTTAATTTTTAGCCGAACGGTGGAGTACATGTCTGGACGAGCCAAGCATGCAAGTGCAAATGGTAGCAAAAGAGAGAATTAATCTCAAAGAAATTATATAGACAGAACATCATGCAAAGCATGAAAATAAAAAGGTTTACAGTGACTCCTGTGCAGTATACGACAACGACTTGACGTAATGCACCTGAAATAATACATGCTTCAGCTACCAGTGTTAAGACAGAACAAATGAAGCTCTTGTGAGCATTTTGAAACAACTTGTCTATACTGATCCGTGCAGTGATTAGTGGAAGTGTCATGGACGCCGGGGTCTGGGCCCACCTGGTCAGCGGGTAGGGCAGCAATGAGAAGGTCTGGAACGGCGTCTCCAGTGAGATCTGGCACAGACACCACCTGGGACACTATCTGTCCCGGGGATACAGTCCACAGCATCTTACCTGGGGGGTGAGTAAGACATTAAGCTGGGTGATGGTCATTGCTGGGAAGCTACTACAGCTGATCTGAGATCAAGGCTGTCAGGTTTTAAGTGAGGCAGCTCAGTCAGTCATTTGTCCTTTTTCCTGGTGTCACCAAGCATCACAAGGGTTTCATTTTTTTACACAATCCTCAATTAGGGTGACGATGCTACCTTATCAAATACTGCACTCTGAATTGCCTTGCATCTGCTATATAAACAAACCTGCTTTGCCTTCAACATAACATTCTCTCATAGTTCCGTAACACCAACCCAGTGTGAACGTAAACATGCAAGCAGAGGTCAAAAGTGATGGAAAAGGCAGGTATGTAAACCAGTATAGCCATGATCTAACCAGTGGCGGCATCAAGGGCGCTGAGATGGGCCGAGCCAGTCACTAGGCAGATGGGACCCCGGCCCTGGCCCGCTGGCCCCGAGACAGACTGCCGCTGTGGGAATGTCCTGCGTGGTGGGGCCACAGGGCGAGCCTGTGGACGCATCCCGCACTGGATGGACAAAGCCGGTTCCTTCAGGCCCGTTTTCCACAGCACGTTCCCCCGGACAGCAGATACCGCGGCCACGCTATGCTCTGACGGAGAGAAAAATCGGTGAGCAACAAGGATTTCTAACTGTATAATCGACCTTCCTTTTTGTTTTAATCACAAGTCGGCGTGCAAACGCTCAGAAATACCTTTGCTGTTGCCCTGAGGGCCTCCCAGCCGGCTGTCATTGGTCAGCTGAGTGACTGACACTAACACATCTTCAATGGTGTCATTGTCCACGTCCCACAATGCTAGAGGGGGTGAGTTAACACCTGGATGTGGGAAAAACGTACCTTTAGTTTAAAAAAAAAAAAAACAATTCTTGCACTGAGTTGCCATACTTAATAACACTGGTCGTCAGAGCAGTCCAACAGTGACTAGTGTAAAAGTCAGGACTTCCCCGCTGCTGTGCTTTGCTGCAGTCACTCTTAACATACTTATTATTGGATCAGTACTAAAACAGACTATTATTTACTCACCTACTTCCCCTAATCCGGTTTCCCACTGTGGTATCCCATTCAACTCCCCCTGCTGGCAGGGCAATAGAAAAGCACAGAGCAGCACCAGTAATACAGCACAGCAAAGTGGAACCAGGAAAACTGTGGTGCGGATCACCCCTCTCATCCGAATCCTCTTTGCCTCTGGGTCAGATCCTGAGTCCAAACCAAGCCCGCCAGCACGAGTGGACCCTGCCCCCCCACCATCCTGGAACCCAAGATCACGGCCCTCCCTCTGACTCCAGTACTGCCTGCTCTTCAGGTCGTCTCTTTCCTGACGGTTCTTCTTGAGATGTTGTTCCCTCCACTCCTCCTCATCTTCGTCCCCTTCATCCACATCATCTTCATCTTCCATAAGCCTTCCTACCCTACCGCCACGCATGTCTGTCGTGCCTGAGCCCATACAGTTGCCCCTGCCCAGCCCATTGCGAGGGTAATTGAGGACCAGGTCATCTTCCTCACTCTCATCCTCACTGTCAGCCTGGGTGAGGGGATCGTATTCTCCAAGCTCTGAGCCCTTTTTCCCTAAATGGAAAAGACATGTTAAACAGTATTTCTCGCAAGAGGAGAGGAAAAACTGGCTATTGAAAAACAAGAAAAACGAGAACTTTTGCGAGATCTCGCAAAAGACCACCCCAACTTTGCGAGATCTCGCAAAAATTCACGTTTTTCTTGTTTTTCAATCGCCAGTTTTTCCTCTCCGTGTCCCTTCTGGGATACACATACATTTTTGTTTTGTTTTTGTAAAAACATTAATTCGATTATTGTACCTTTTGATATTCGTGAGGCAATCACACCATATTGCTAACATCAGTGAAAGTGTCTTTTTGACAACACATTCAAATTAATATAATGGATTTATAATAACAAGTATGTCGTGGCACGAAGATAAAAATACAATAAAATTACAGAAAATAAAAACATGATAGACAATATAACTCCGCGGTTATTTAGGCTAATATATCTTAAAAAGAATACTGTGAAAACAACAAATAAAATAATACAATCTGATATAATACTATAATAAATAATTAGGCCTATGTATAATGTGAAAATATTATACAGCAGAGTGTGACATCGCTAATCCCGTGGTGCGTCACGGACAGCTAGCGAGTACTGCATCGTACTGTATATACAAAAAATTGGAAAATATTTTCCAGCTATATTTCCGCCATTTCCCAGAACAAAATAACATACTTGAGTAAAACATATCGATTGCATTATCATGAAATCATAGTTACTGAGCCTTCTTGTTGATTGCTATATTAATGACTATTGTGGCAAGCAGATAGAAAGCTAACAGCATCACATCGTGGAAATACAAAACTAGCTGAATAATTGTAATGTTGGGTGGAGTAGCAAAGCTAACAAAACGGCTAATTTATTCATTTTCCAGAACGCACAATTTAGTCTTACCAGGCAATTTAAGAGCTCGCGAAAGGGCTGCTGCCATCGTAGAGAGAGAAGGATAGAAATGTCACGATATGCGGGCTGTCATTTGAGTCCAGAAAGCGGTTTTTAATTCGCTATGAAGGACGCCTCCTTTTGTGGAATTCTGGGACTCGTAGTTTTACATTTTCTGACCGCATAACTATTCCATTTTTTTTAAAATTACTAATTACTAAGCCAGGCTGTGATCTCAGATAATACCTTTAATGTTTTTCTAGCTCTGGTCAAACACGAAAGTGTCGCACAAATGTTTTGCGCATCAAAAGAAGTGGCATACCGGATTTTATCACTCATAATGGCAATATCTCTGTTTATTTTCAGTAGTAAATCCGTATTTTAAATAACCTTAATACACAACACATCTGTATACAAACCCGTGTTGCATACTACATAATTTATTCGTCAGTCATTATTTTATGGTACATAGTTTAATAGTAATGAGAGGTGGGTGTGACGTAAGGGTACTTTGGGTGCGCGGACGCGCGCAGAGCTTCCTGAAGCGAACGAAATAGAGCAGAGCGCGCTCACGAGTGCGGAAAGTCAGGAGGCACGGGGCTAAAGGAGGGCAGATTACAGTGCAGTATCTCATATATAGCTAGTGTACGAATTAAAATGAATAATAAATGAAATACAAAAGTACCATCAAAACAAGACGTGCGTTTTACTTTAAAAAATATATTTAAAGTTTTGGTTTATTGCTAGCAAGTTAGCTGTTCTCTCTGTCGGTGTCATACTAAGAGCACGCCGAATTTGTATAATCCGAGGCGTCAAAATTAAAGATAGATTATGTGGGGCATATCTAAAGCGGCGTTAGTTTGTTAACTAACTTTATTCGTGGAGCTGTGAAGCTGCGAGCGTCCAGAAAAAAAGTTGTATTTTTTGAAGCCGGAAAGTTAGCTTCAGGCTAGCCGTAGGCCCGTCGCGTTCTGTGTACAACAATCGGCGCGTGGCTTGGCTTGTCAGAAAGGGCGAAGATGTCGGCACAGGCGCAAATGCGGGCCATGCTGGACCAGCTCATGGGCACGGGAAGAGACGGTCAGTCCCATCACGTTTTACACCGTATTACATTAACTATTTCGATGGAGGTGCGTTGCGGGTGCTGCAAAAAATGTGATCAGTGACATCAAGCTTGCAGGCATTCTTTATGAGTAACGAGCCGATCTGCTAGCTTAATATAAGCGAGGTATGCCTTCCCACCAGGACAGGTAATCAAAAATGTTTGTATTATCGGTCTCTGAGGCCGGCCAATATAAGAGTTTTTCTAAAAGCTTGTTAGTACGACCACCGATCACTTATTCTGCTAGTGATAGGTGAACATGGAGAGTTCACCCAAATTTCTGTGGATAACTGTATTTGCAAATTTGAGTGACACGTGGAAAGTACAACATGAAATATTCTGTGAAGAAAAGTATGTTTTTCGAAGGAATGTATTGTAATATAACTATTCATCTTAAGTGTCAGTTCTACAAACTATGTGAAAAATTAGTTTCTGCGGTTTATTTCCAGTGTAATTCTGTGTTTTAGATGTAAAAACACCGCTGAACACCACTGAGCCATAAATAAACGTTTGATGTTGAAATAAGTATGTGGTTTTCTTCCAGGGGACAGCATGAGGCAGAGAATCAAATTCACAGATGAGAGAGTGTGCAAGAGTCACCTTCTGGAATCCTGTCCCCATGACATCCTGTCTGGCACGGTCAGTAAGCTATGGGACATGACTTACATGCATTCACACAAACACACATATATCACTATATAGTGTGCATTTGTATAAGAATATTACCTATTATATATGTAGATGTGCACCCTGCTATGGTCTGGCATATCCTCCAGGGTGTATCTGTCTGTGCTTTGTACTTTCAGGGATAGTATCCAGGCTCTCCATTATTATGGTGCCTTGGATAAGTGCTTGTAGAGGATGGATGTTTTGGGTCCTAAAAGATATGACCCTCTTTATTAAGTTAGGTGCTGTAGGCAGTGATGCATACTGCAGTAAGAGTGACATTCATTCTCTAATTCTGAATTTTGTTTTGTTCTTTGAATGGTGCAGCGAATGGATCTGGGGGAGTGTATGAAGGTTCATGACCTGGCCCTCCGGGCTGACTATGAGATCGCCTCCAAACAGCAAGAGTACTTTTTTGAGCTTGACGTGAGTTTTAGTCCCCTTACGGTATTTAATTCTCGGTTTACTCCTGTGTCTCATACCGTTGTATTCTGTCACCGCGTCTCTGTGTCCTCTTCCTTCATTCGTGTGACTTGCCTCGTTTATCATGTGACTTTTCCTTAGGCTGCGGAGCACCTGCAGTCCTTCATCGCCGACTGTGACCGGAGAACAGAGCTAGCCAAGAAGCGTCTGGCAGAAACTCAGGAAGAGATCAGTGCGGAAGTCGCGGCTAAGGTGTCGCTCTCGGGTTGTCGTCGTACCTTAGAGCCCCCAGCTCTGTTCCTGCTACACATGCTCCTTAGCTGCTCCATCCATGTTCCCCTGCTGCTGCCATCTGGTTGCGAGCGACGTGCAGGGCGGGCAGTGGCCAATCTTACGTTCCCATTCCACTTGCAGGCGGAGCGAGTGCACGAGTTGAACGAGGAGATCGGCAAACTGCTGGCCCGCGCTGAGCAGCTGGGCGGGGAGGGAAACGTGGAGGAGGCGCAGCAGGTGCTGGAGAAGGTGGAGAAGACCCGGGCCCTGAAGAGGGAGGCCGAGGTGAGGGCTTCGGCCAGGTGCTGATCGACTCTGAGAGCAGCCAGGGCTCCGGCCAGGTGCTGATCGACTCTGAGAGCAGCCAGGGCTCCGGCCAGGTGCTGATCGNTGAGAGCAGCCAGGGCTCCGGCCAGGTGCTGATCGACTCTGAGAGCAGCCAGGGCTCCGGCCAGGTGCTGATCGACTCTGAGAGCAGCCAGGGCTTCGGCCAGGTGCTGATCGACTCTGAGAGCAGCCAGGAACAGATGTGCGCATCTGCTAGCATTGATCTCAGTCTTAGGTCTTATATAAAGTGAACCATTGTTTAACTGAAAACAGGGGAGTCCAGTGGGTTTATTATAATTTTGATAGATTTTATAATAAATGGAAAGTGTTCACATTTAATTTCAGTTTTTCTTCGTTTTAGGATATATACAGGAACTCGATGCCTGCTTCAAGCTTCCAGCAGCAGAAGCTTCGGGTCTGTGAGGTGTGCTCTGCCTACCTGGGTCTCCATGACAATGACCGTCGCCTTGCCGACCATTTCGGTGGAAAGCTTCACTTGGGCTTCATTGAGATCCGTGAGAAGCTCGAGAAACTGAGGGTGAGGGGAAGGATGGTATCTTACTGAAAAAGCTGTGTGTGATTTGAGCACGTTGTCAGTGTTTCACAGGTGGAGTTAAATTTAAAGGTAAATTCAGTGTCTGAACCTAAACATCCAGTGATCCATAGATTAACTCATGGATTGACGCAATGCTAACATTAGTAACAATTAATTGTACTTGACTGAGTCTGTCTCCTATTTTTGTAAAAGTAGAGAGGCAAAGCTCTTGGTCTCAGAAAGTTCTTGTTTTCTTCTGCATCAACAGAAAACCGTGTCTGAGAAGCAGATGCAGATGAGACTCCGGAGACGGGAAGAGCGTGATCGAGAGGAAGAGAGAGAGCGTGAGTGGGAGCGGGAGAAAGAGAGGGATCGGGACCGGGAACGTGAGAAGGAGAAAGATAGAGAAAAGAGGAGGTAAGCCAGTGGAGCCGTGGGGGTTTTAGAAGAATTTTCAAGAACATCACAGTGTCATAAAGATGATGAAAGTTTATATCGTGACGCGAAATGCATCTTAAGTTGTGTCCCTCTTCCTCTGTAGGGATGGCAGGAGCTCCTCTTCCCACCACAGCCGACGCCATCACTCCTCTTGCTCAAAGGAAGAAGGAGCTGAGAGGGAGCGGGAGAGGGAGCGGAGGCACAGGCACAAGGACAAGGACAAGGACAAGGACAAGGACAGACATCGCTCCCGGTCACACTCGCACTCCCACCGAAGCAAGAAGAAGAGGTATGTCACATGCTTTTCGTTTTGTTTATGTTCGTGAGTATTTGCAAATATCTGTGTCGTAGCAGGTTGAGGTTACTGTGACTGTTATAATCTCTGCAGTAAGCCAAAGTAATGGCAGTAGGTTGTGTGCTGATTAAGTGAATTTAAGATGTGGTTTCTTAATCTGCAACAACCTTAGAGGATTTTGACATCCACATGTGGGGTTTGCTGGGTCAGCAAGCACATCTTGTACTTGGAAATGGTTATTCAAAGCTATCTGCATTATTCATGTTTACTCTTTATAAAGCATTGCCTTTAATACCAGTGATCCTTTTTATTACAGATTTTTATGACTCTTATTTAGGAAATGATGTCTACTGGGACGTGCAGGAGCTGGCCTAATTTCCATCTTGTCTTTCAGATCTTCCAGAGAGAGATCCCCACACTTGAAGGAGAGTGATCAGTCACCATCACTGGAGAGAAGGAAGGAGAGGAGAGGAGAAAGGGAAGCAGAGTGGCTCAGCGAAGGCCAGGCACTGGGCACGGAGGACTCCCCATCCACAGAAATGCCCAAGGGGAGGGATTTCGGTCGAGGACGGGAGAGGTCACTGTCATTTGAAAGAGAGAGACGATCAAGCTCTGAAGAAAGAGAATCAGGAGAGCTGTGAAATCAGCAGAGGCGTACGATAGGGGCCATGGGGGGAGGGGGGGGGACGTGTTGCACACAGCAGGGGTGTAGATTACCTAAGTGGGTGAAAGAATATTGTGAGTTTCACTGAGAGGCAAGGAGGCCGAAAGATTGGAAAGGGGAGAGATGAATTATTAGAGAAGAATTTAATCTGGAAGGATGGTTTTAGTAGCTCAAAGGGGGAACAGACTACAGAGTGCTGGTAGTATATTTAGAGAATAATGAAAGCAAGGGTAGGCAGGCGGACTTCTGTGATAAAATGTACATAAAGAAATTCTACCTAACCAGTTTTTTTTAAAGTCGTGATTGTTTTTTTTATTATGATCATTATGATTGCTACAATTAAACAATTAAAGTTCTGATCCCCTACAGACTGTTTGAAAACGAGATCTTTACGCTGAATGAAAATTCACCGGTATTTATGTTGGATGTCATTGGTACAATTCCTTTTTTAAGGACATGATTTACAAATGACAAAAGGAAAAAATGTAACCTTTGTATAAAGACTACATCCATCCATCTTTAAACTTGGAATTTTGTTCAGGTTGTGAGGAACCAAGAGCATATTCCAGGGCACAAGACTGCGGTACACTTTGGACGGGGTGCCAGTATGTAGCATATGGGGTGTAACTTCTATCAGAACCAAACTGTGGGCTCACAAACATTTGATATCAACAATAAGCAGATGGGGGGGGCGTCTTTTATATTGCTATTGATCCTGCAAAAATGAGTAAACATTCCTTTCCATCCATATAACACGTGTGCTGGGGAAAAATGCAAATTCCACTGCTAGGGATGGATTTTGGATACTCCAGTGCAAACCACTGAGCCACTTTACCACCAAGAATTTTAGTTCTTCTTTGGGGGGGTATGATTCATAGGTATTCCCGTGCCTAAGAATATGTTACACAGAAATTTTTAGCTACATTTTATATTTACAAAGATGCAATGGTGATTAGGTGATGTTTTTAACAGATGAGATGATTAGAGTACTATTGTTAGGACATCAGTATATGACATACTGACCCAAAAGCAATAGATGTGTGCCATATATTGTAATGGTAGATATGGGTAAATGTGAGAAGTACAAAAAAGGTAGAGCTCACGAAAATCGGCATTTTATTTCTTCGCTTAAACAATAAAATGTAAAATCACCATTTATATATCTAACTTTAACCATCTTTCGGGAGAGTTAGTAGGTGAATCACCTTAACTAAGCAGATCGGTACCCATTCAATCTCGCTTTTAACCGAGTTTAAAGAACGGAGATGTGTACAATTTCATTCATTGCTAATTAGAATCGACCGCAGAGCATTATGGGACGCTGGAAGTTATAGGGCGAGATTTATCTTGGTCGGCTGGAAACAAATTAAATACTAAAAGGAGTGGCAGTCATTGAAGATAAATTAATTATAAATCTGTACAATAACAGTTCAATGGACATATATTTCCGACGATTAGGCCAGAATATGCATATATATATACATTTATCTATATATAGTTTTATCCTTGTGTTATATTGTTCACCGAAATTACATTAAATTTGAGATATAAGTTCTAACTTTTCCGCAGCTTTCTTTTTTTCCGTTCGCTTCATCTATTTTGACCCAATTTGGACACCATCCCATATAGCGTGACGTAACACATCGGATTGAATGAACCGGAACTACTAAATATTCACTTGTGTTTCCATGGCCCCCAACCAAGAGAAAACCAAAAGAAAAAAAACAAAAGCGGTAACGTTTTTATCATTTGTTTATATGTGAAATGTAGGTATACTAAAATTGAAACAATGGTTCAGTAGCATGGTATTTAGTAAATAGAGCAATCCATAAAAAACAACTGGAGCAATCCATGAGATGACAATAAAAATTTGATGACGGATACACTATATATTCCTTCGTTACAGCCACCAATCATATCTATTTACACATATTATTCCAAGGCTGAAATGAGTGTAGTACATTCGCACTTGTAAAGCGAGGCTCCTCCTCCTTACTCTAATTGCACCCCAGCGAGACCGATGGTTAACGCCGCTACATCCTCCGGAATTTCATTTCTGTTCATCCAAAAACAAGATGGCAGACCTTCCCTTGGATGAGATGATGCGCCGGCGATTTTTTAGAAATAACATTCGTGGGACAAACAACAGGTAACTGATATGTTTTGTATTACATATTATGAGTCTACTGCGATTATAACAGTACTGTTTGTTAGTAGTCGAAGTGCATTACTTAATAATCTCATTTTATCGTACGTTGTCGGTATTGCTATGGATTGTTGGCAGTATTATATAAGAATTTTTATATAAATTGAGTTTGTGGTTTAATCTTACGTGGTGCTGCACGCATCCTGTACTGGGCTTTAAAGTGTCCGTTTTCTGTACAATAAAATTGTTCTTATGTCATATTAAACAGCAGTAACTGGAACTGCACGATTTTTTTATCATTTGTTTTGTTAGGTGAATATTACTGTAACAGGAAAGTCATACGTTTGTCTTCTTTCAGCCTTACTGAAGGGCCTAATAATGGCTTTGTGTCCAAGCATGTCTATTATCGAATGGGAAATGCTGTTCTGGAGCTAAAGCCATAACAGCCTCAAAACTTGCATGATTTTGATGCACATAAATCAATATGATACAGTTTATGATGGCGAGCTAATGTTTTTTCCTTCTCAGACCTCTCGTAGGTCGGGGTGCAGGAGTTTTTGGGGGAACTTTTGACGCCCGACTAAAGATCGGAAATACCGATGTCAGGCAGAGACTTGGATCAGGAACAGGTAATTAAGTAATTAAACCAATATCTATGACTACAGAAGTACGCGTCAAGTAATGATGAATTGAAATTCTTAACATCTTTATTCGTTCTACTTTTATATTGAAAACTTTCATTGCTGGATGCCTGCTTGGAAAAGCACAAACATGTTTCTCATTGCAGTATATTACCTTTTTTTGTGATTATTGCAGTATTCCAGGTGAAAGATGCTAGAGAAAAACTTAGTCAAAAAGACCCCCGCTTTCAAGTTAAGGGCAGTAGTGCGGGAAAGACCATGCCAGACGCCAGACAGACAATAAACTCTCGCAAAAAACAGCACGGATTGAAACGGCTGCACAGCACAAGGACAGATGACCCACCAGAAGTAAACCAACAGGTTCACAATAACAGGAGTAATGTGAACAAAGCCTTTCTTAATGTGAGCCCCTCCCCTCAAGGATTAAATGTTAAAGTGGGCGTGGCATTGCAACAGGGGGGTGGGCCTAAGAAGGAGGTGGACGCTCGTGATAGGCTCCGGCTCAAGAGAAGCCCCGCATCACTGTCATCTTTCAAGATCACGAAGACCATCCAGGTAAGATCAAGCATTTTTGCGGGATTCCTGTTTTGGCAGCTCGTTCTCTGCTGTCTGTGCCTGCTCAAGGCTTCATGTCGTTATGTAGCAGAAGCCTGCTGTGGGACTGACCAGTGGGATCCGTGTTGGTGTAGCCAGTAGAAATACTCGAGTGGATGAAATGGAGCCAGGAAGTGATGTGGAGGAGGTACACTTTGTGTTTCCCGTGTTTCTAAGTTGAGTCTGTTGGCACAACGTTTGTGTATGTTGCCCTCGTCCATCGCCGACTGGTGACAGACATTGTGACGTTGAGCCAGCATTGATTCAGGTCTATTTTTTTTTGTCTTACTGTTAATTTTCACATGTTCCAATGTTTTTTTTCTGAGCAAATATACACTTACTACCCAGATATATCGCCTTAAACATTTTCTTTGACTGCCTAAGACTTCTGCACAGTACTATATTTTTTGTTGTGATTCTCCTTAGTCTGTCTTGGGTGAGGAAGATGTCACCCCAGGCAAACGGATGAAGATCGTGACGTCCAGCAACGCACTGCACGAGCAAGTGAGTGGTATTGTGTGAAAACGACTCAGTGACATAGGGATGGGCCAAACTTTAGCCTGTGAGATGCTGCAGATTCAGTGTGACATGCTGCCGTATGGTATGGAGTTCAGTACCCAGATGATGAATAGGGGGCATTGGGTGTCCCTCAGTCTGTCACCCTGCCTATGGCACATTCATGCCTCATGTTTCCCCCACCAGATGCTCTCCCTGCAGGCCGATTCCATCAGCCGCCCCTTTTCTCTCTCAACCCCAATTACCAAAGTCGTCCAGAATGACAGCTACACGGCCAGTCCCCCTGTGCAAATCCCACCCAGCGCCAGCCCACCGGCTCCTGTCCTGCAGCCTGTGTCCCGGACCCTGATCACTGGGCAGGTCCAGCAGGGCACCAGTGAGGATGCTGGAACTCTTACTGGAACGCAGGTACGGGAGTTTAAACCCTCCAGCGTGTTTGTCCATTTAAAAACAGTTTCACGTACTTTAGCTTGAAAAGAAATAAGTGTCTTGGAGAAATTCAACAAACAAGAATGGACATTTTAATCCATAGCATATAATAAATCCTTTATTTGCAATTAGGACAAGTAAAGTACATTGGACAGCATCTCTTCACCTGCCCCATCTTGCTTTCCATAGGTTGGGGGTTACAGTGCAGGGTCAGCGCCCCTAGAACTAGGGGTTAAGGGTCTTGCTGAAGGGCGCATGGACATGTGACTGTCCAGCTGAGGCCGGGGCTCTAACCGGCGACCTTCTGATCACTGCCCCATATTTTTGTCGTTCTCCTGTATAGCCAGCTTTCAGTCCTCTGGAAGGGACGAAGATGACGGTGAACAATCTTCATCCACGTGTCACAGAGGAAGACATTGTTGTAAGCGACGGCTTGGAGGTTTTCTTTTAATTTAAAACCTTTACTGCGTCTCTGTAATGTGGTCTGTATAACTTACTGTCAATATGGCTGCGTCTTGCACACCCACCCAGGAGCTGTTCTGCGTGTGCGGAGCCTTGAAACGCACACGACTTCTGCAGGCGGGAGTAGTGGAGGTGGTGTTTGTCAGGAAGGAGGATGCCATCGCGGCCTACAGGAAGTACAATAACCGTTGCCTGGATGGTATGTCGGGGAGTGTGGAGTGGGCTGGGCTTAGTAGATTGCTTTATGTGATTGGATGGGACTCTCCATAGTAACCAATGGGAAGAGTGTAATTTCGGGGCGAGCTCTCTGTTCTTTGTGGGGTAAAATACAAAGAAAATCCTATAAACTTTGGCTGAATTTGCAGCTTTGGTCACCCCTCTGCATCCATCTCCTTTGTCTCCAGGCCAACCCATGAAGTGCAACCTTCACATCCAGGGAAACGTCATCACGTCAGATCAGCCCATTCTTCTGTAAGTGCCTGGGTGCCCTTTTTTAGAGCCTAGCATTTAAAAGCCAGGAGGCCCAAAAGAGAGACCTGCCATATTTCGGTGGTTGGGTTTAGCTTAATGAGTTAGGCCTCTGTGTCTTTGATCGGAAGGTCGCCAGTTTGAGTCCCATTCTTGGCAAAATAGTCACGTCTCCATTGGGCCTTTGAGCAAGGCCCTTAAGCCCCCAAGATGGTCCCGGGATGCTGCGTAAAGGGTTGAATGTGTGCTTGGACCCCAAGTTTCACTGTGTGTGTGTGTCTGTGTCTGTGTCTGTGTGTCTCAAAAGAGAACTAGATGGGATATGCAAAAATAAGCATTCAAATGCACAGACACACTCGTACTCGCAAAGATTTCATTTATTTAAAATGCATAAGCTTATGGCCACAGATGATATAGACGAGCCTCTGAGCACAGTGATATAGACGAGCCTCTGAGCACAGAGATATAGACGAGCCTCTGAGCACAGTGATATAGACGAGCCTCTGAGCACAGCGATATAGACGAGCCTCTGAGCACAGCGATATAGACGAGCCTCTGAGCACAGTGATATAGACGAGCCTCTGAGCACAGTGATATAGACGAGCCTCTGAGCACAGTGCCCCCACCTGTTGACCATAACGTAGTCATAAATCTCTTAGAACCTTCTTGTGTTCCTACAGTAACTATGTGTATTCCATGGCTGTGGGTGGGTTACTATGTTTGTTTATAGATGGCTAGATTTCTTCATTGAGGTGGATCTTCTTCCTCGGTTCTTTCAGGAGGCTTGGTGACACCCCGGGTGTCAGTGACGCAAAGACAGAGGGGCTGCCCACCTCCCTGTCCCGCCCGGGGGGGCGGTCGGCTTCGTCTCAGCCCCCGGTGGAAGTGAATCCCCAGACCATCCTGAAAGCCTTGTTCAAGTCGTCTTTTCCGCCCTCCGCGTCCTCAGACTCTGCCAGCTCGCAGGCGACAGCCTTTTGCATTAAGATCTAGCAACACGCATGCACTGCTGTTTGTCAGTTCTGTCAGTATCCTAAGGAGTTAGATATACATGCCATGACGTTTTCTCGATTTAATTTGGCCAGAAACTGTTCATGCTACGATATTCAGCCACTACATAGAAGACAAAGCCACAAACCTTCTCCTACCCTGTCCACATGCATCTACCCACAGGAATTTTTGGATGATGACCTCCATAGTGTCTTAACTGACCATACATTTACATTTACCAGGAAGAAATGTCTGATATGGACAGACAGGATTTTTAATAGTTGACTGATATTAATGTTGATATTAAGTGATAATTTGACCTTTAAAATATTTTTGATTCCGATAGTAAGGCTAAGAACCTCATTTGTTGTTTGCATTCCAAGGGAGACAATGGCTTATGTTATGTATTTGCAGGTTGTTCACATTGAACACTACTTTTCTGTTGTTTCCCCTCAAAATCTAATAAAACTGTACATTGTCTCTTCCACATTTTCTTAAATAACATTCAAACGAAACTCCGTATGTGTTTGTGTCCTTTTTCTTCTTTTTTTGGCCTGTATCTTTGTTATTTTGGTCATCTGTGTCCCTGCAACCTGGGAACAGTGTCTATGGGAAGACTTAAGTACGGTTGATGTTCATAATCTACACCAATGCAGTTAGTTATTTTTGTGGCATTTCTTGAATACATTTGTTGCTTACTAAATTTCTGCTACGTGAAAAATGAAATATTTTGTTGAGCAGTATATGCCTATGGAAACCAATAAACTGATACACCCCAGCATGTATATTGTTTCTCGCCTTTGAGCATAGATACGTTTATTAGGAAGCGTCATACGCAAATTTAATGGGTGTCGAAGAGAGTAGCCAACATCCTCAACTGAACATGCCGACACTTAACCTCCGATGCAATAGGTGGCAGCAAAGTGCTCGTGAAAAGGAATTAGTGCCGCATTTCCCGAAGAAGACGAGGAGAAACGCTGCGAAGATGGCGACGTCCACGAAGAAACATGCGAAAAAGCCGTGTGTTATTCCGGGCGGTTTTACGGGTGTGTATATGATTTGCTATGAGAACTAAAGGGCGTATATATATATACTCAATGAAGGTGCACTAAACGTGCGCAAACAGGTTTAAATTATGTCATGATTTTTTATAATTTGCTAAGATACCGACGTGGCTGCACGTCGGATATGAACGTGAAACACGAAGCCTGTTTTGTTTACGATTTCGAAACCCAACTGCTTAAAAGCATTTTATTTTATTTTTAAAAGCTGCTTGGTCAAATAATGTGTTAATTTAGTTACCTTCCCCATAGTCGCTCAGTATTATAATTAGATATTGTCCAATGTCCGACGATTGGTATTTTCAATAAAATTTAACTTAAAAAAATCTGATTTTTGTCGCATAGCATTTCAAATAGATTTGAAATTAGCTTCAGTATTTTATATTTCATCCAGGTATTCTTTTTTTGTTGGTGTTTACTGCGGTTGAAGTTAAAGAGCCTGTTCTGCTGTTCAGTCATTACTGTGCTGTTTATTGAATACCTGCTGATCTCTTTGTTTATTAGTCCTGCCTCTTCAGTTCAGCGCAGACAGTGTCAGTCAACACAGCATTTACATTAAGGAACACAGAGTTCGGGCAGAGAAGACCTCCCACAGACCACTTGACAGGACGTTGTTTGTGATCAACATACCGCCTTACTGCACAGAGGTATGCACACATGTTGCAAATTGTAATGCAGAGATTCAGGTTTATGTGAATGCCATTAATACAGTAGTTTTACTCCCCTTTAATACGCTTGGTTTACCACCTTTTAATACACTGTTCAGTCTATAAAAAAGATTCATTGGGTAAACAAAACAAATAGCTGATAATTAGGAATTTCTCTCCCAGGTTTCCAAGGTGAAATGAGTATCTTTTCCCAAGATTGTGTCTGATAAATAGTTATTTTGCTCTCTCAGTTTGGCTGTCACTTAACACCTGATTTGCATGTTTCAGGAAGTCGTTCATAATCTGTTTACATTGTTCGGCGAAATCCAGTCAGTGGAGTTGATGGAGAGGCCTGGTGCCACTGATCACTCAGAACTGCAGCTGTCTAAATATTTCAGACCAGCAAAGAAAGAGGTGGGGGGCCTTTGCAGGAGTGCATCACTGTGTGTTTACAGCCCAGTCATGCCGCTTTGTTTGACTGAATCAGCCAATTATGAAAGGTCCATTTTTTTTCTTGTTGTTCCTTTCCAGGGATTCAGTGTCGCATATATTGTGTTTAAAAAAGCATCAAGTGTGAAGGCAGCAAAGTCACACCCCCATAACATCCCATTGGTTGTTAGCACGGAACAACAACCAATTAAAGTTGGTCTGAAGAGTGAGTGACACAGTTGAATTTTTATTTTATTTTATTTACATGGTCAGTGGATGCATGGAAACAGTGTATCTGTTGTCTTTTCCCAGAATGGATAGATCAGTACAGGCAGTCGGTAGCTTACCCGGACAAACTTCAAGAAGCAGTGGACACCTACATGCAGGAGTATGACAGGAGAAAAGAGGAGGTCAGTCTTAGTGTTTAGTCCTCGTGTCGTCTTTGTCTGTGTGTTGGATTGTTTGTTAGAATGGTTCTGAAGGGAAGTGAGGCTTCAGGTTATATTTCAAACCTTGCAGTTTCTGAAGATTTTCTTGATTCTTCTGGTCTTGTCTCTCAGGAATCCCAACAGTTGAAGAAAGAAGGGGATGGGGATGAGGAAGAGGATGATGAAGGCTGGGTGAAAGTCACGAGGGGCACCAAGGGAAGCAAGGCCCGGCCTCACACTGAGACGGCCAACCGGAGGGCTCTCCAAAAGGAGGACAAGAAGCGGAAGAGGAAGGAGCTAATAAATTTCTACGCATGGCAGCACCGACAGACGCAAAGAGAGCGTAAGTCGCAATGTGCCTTTTGATGAAAGACTAGGCTGCTTATCTTTTTTATCACAGCCATTTGTTAAATCAGTTTCACTTGTATGAAACTTCCTTCTAAAGGTTACGGTTGTATTTACAACCTAATTAATACTCGGCGTGTCCACGTGCCGTTATGGTCTGCGCACAGTGCAAATGATGTGAATTTTCATTGTCAGGAGTGTCTGCCCAGGTCGCATGTGTGCAGGCCAGGTGTTGGGTCTAGTGTATCTGTTGTGCGCCAGTGTGTATGAACTGTACATGTCCAAGGAATTGATAGTGTATTTCTAGGTATTTTCAGTAGGTGGAATCTGCTGAACTCGTGGAATATCCGTGCTGTATGCTTGCACTGACTACAACCACTTGCGTAAACACGCAGTGCCCCAAAATGTAGGATGTGCACAAAAGTTTGTGTGCTCAACCATGTGTGGCCTGTAGCAGCACACAGACAAGTGGAGTATGTTCTAGGCTTATTTCAAACACCATATTAACTAAAGATGTAGAAGATAATTAAGTTTGTACAGTGTATACAACATGATTTGGAGTCTAAATCCAGTATTTCCTAACTTTCAGATATTGCGGAGCTGCGGAAGAAGTTTGAGGAGGACAAACAGAGGATTGCGCTAATGAGAGCACAGAGGAAATTCAGACCATACTGAGTCGTCACCCTTTATACATCTTCATTGTTTGTTGTTTCATTCTTATCTTCCCATCTACCCATTTCCCCTCCGTTCCATTAAATAAATCTCATGTTTATTGTTCCTCATTTGGATTGTTATTATATATCAGAAACAGCATTCCAAACAAAAGCAAAATGAGATGATAGAAATGCATATGGAAAATGTGAGGTGACCACATGCTGAGCATTACTTGTTAATATATTAACAGACAGAGCTTTAACTCCTAGCTATCTGTTTTTCAATAATCTGACATTTTTTTTCTAACACCTGAGAACACCAACAAAGAAACCAGAGAAATGTCATTTCTATGAAACAATGGAATCGAGGTGCTGTGTAAAACGGAACAGTACATTTCACATTGCAATGTAATGTTCCTTTAAAAACACTGCTAATGAATTTAAAAAATGTCTTATGGACTCGTACGTATTAGGTGTTGTCACGTCATAAAATCCACGTTTTTATAACTAACAAAGCAAGCGTTCATGGAATTTATACTATAATATTTAAGTTAAAACATGGTGCTGTTAGAAAAACTTGATTGTATTAAATGTCTTGGGGAAAGAACACAAAAGCGATATGTTGAAATAATGTGTCCAAAGCTGGATAAAATAATAAAATGCAATGTGATGGGGGAACAAGCTGAAGTTGTCCAACTAGTGACGTACGGACCTCACGACACGGCGACCAATAAAAGACATTAGGTAGGGCGGTGACGTCACGACGAGTGAGGAAGCCAGAAGAGGGGAGGAGAAGAGCTAAGCTGATTTGGTTGAAGAGGATCTTTATGCCCCTGGAAAGAGGATCGGCACAAGCGGTGTTGGATCCTTAGGCTTGACAGACATGGCCCTGAATCGGAATCATTCGCACAACGGCGGCGTTTTGATCAACAACGGCGAGAGGTGAGGCGTCGCGCTGCGAGCCCCGCTCGGGTCCGCGCGCTGCCAATGGCTGTTAACCTGGGTAAACAGAGGATAAACTTTCTTTGGGCCTCGCTAACTAACCGGCGAGCGATGGTTTGGTGGTATCTTACAGACCGGAAAGCTGTCAGGAGCTGCACCGCCGGATTATTTCAGTTTATATACAAAGTTACACATGGAAAGGCAACTACGCAGTTGGCTAGCTAACGAAACCATTGGCTGTTATGTGAGTAGTGTTTCATAAGTCAATAACAGTAACTAAGATTGAGTGACTATACCGCGCAGGTAGAATTAGACCTACTGGAATTTCGACGACGCTTATTTAAAGCTAAAAATGTCTACTCTTTAGCTGTCCTAGAAAGGTACCTAAATAACTTATTTAACATGGCCCGTCACAGCTGGATTACGCGTTTGACCCTTCGGATTGATATTGTGATCGAGCCAGTCGCTTTAAAAAACAACTGAAAGTAAAATTCTTGGTCACGTCTGGCTGTCAGGAAAAATAAGTTATTTAGATGATTGCGTAACTTAATGTTAAGTGACATATGTTTTAGGCCGATACCTGCTGGAACATATGATACTTGTATTGTCATACGTCAGGAGATGTCAGTTCCGGGAAGTAAATATTAATGTATGCAGTAAACATTCTGACAGCACTTAGGGGGTTTGTTTTCATTTTAAAATCATCTGTAGTTTCACAGGTGTTCACCTAGCTTGGCTAATGTATTCTAAATCGGGCATTTATGCCATGAATATTTCTCATTAATAGTTATATTAGTATGATAGCAAAATGCTAGATGATTTCTAAATAACGGAAAAGTATTTCAAATTGCCATGTGATGGACCGACATCCTGCTAGGTTGTACCCTAACCTTGTGCCATGATCTGCCTGGGATCGGTTCCTGGGCCCACTGTCTCCTCGACCAGAATGAGTGGTTAGAAGGCTAATCGTTCTTTAATTCAGAGAGCCTGTGTTGTGTGGGATTACACTGGCCATTCCAGTTTCCTCCTGATGTGTAAAGACATGAACTTAATTTAAATTGGTGATGGGCTAGTATTCCATCCAAAGTGCACCCAGCCTTGTTTTTTGTGCTGCCTTTTGTTTGTTTGTGCCATCCCTCAGGACACTGTCCTGAATAATTAGTTTGAATGTGGATGGATGGAATTCAGAAAGCAAAAACAGGCAGTTTCAGTTTATAAAGGAAGTGTTGAAGTGAAGGAGGAACTTGTGAAACTGGAGAGGATCTTCATTAGTACATTTGTGAGATCCCACAGTGTGGTTAGAGTTTCTTGCCATGGCAGCTAGCTTGTAGTAATAAAAAAAAAATCCCATGTACTGTGTATTCTTGTGATTGTATGAATTATAGCTGTCTGTTTTCTCTGTAGTTACACATGCTTAAATGTGTGGGGCTGAGCTGATCTTCCCTCCTTCTAGCGTGCTACGGCAGTGCAGAAATGTGGAGCTCACCTTCAGTGACGTCACTAGCAAGATGGAGTTGCTCCGGGGTACGAAGAAAGGCACTGTTTACCTAACACCATACAGGGTAGGCCTGTGACACTCCTCGTTCCTTCGAAGTGCATTCTGCTCTTGTCGTTCAGGCTGCATGCTCTTACACCTGCTTAATCTCTGCCTCACTGTCTAGATGCTGTTTGTGTCCAGCAATAGCAAAGACTGTCTGGGCTCCTTCATGTTTCCATATTACTTGATGAAGGGCTGCAGCATTGAGCAGCCAGTGTTTGCCGCCAACTACATCAAGGGCACCATCATGGCCGAAGCGGGCGGTAGGTGTTCTTTCATGCTTCTTAACTCTCTTGCCACTTATTGCATTTTTTTCCCTTTGGAGCCCATTGTGTTTGCTCCTCTTGATATAAGCTTGTACGGTTGTGTCTGTTTTAGACAGCCTTCTCATGCATTTAGCACCAGCTTATACTATGTCTGTCTGGTAGGGGGTTGGGAAGGAAAAGCGAATTTCAAGATGTCATTCACCTCCGGTGGTGCGATAGAGCTGGGGCAGCATCTCTTTAAACTGGCAACCAATGGTAAGTGTGTTCAGCCAACCTCTGCTTTGTGGATTGTGTGCCTTCTGTGTTTGTTTCTGTACATATTACAATGAGATATTTGAGTAAAAACCTCAAGGATTCATGGAAGCAAAGGCTTTGACATTTGCAGAAGTACAAGTTCGTATGAGTGTAATAAGCTTTACCTAAAGTTTTCTGGCATCATTGCCAGAAGAAATCTCCCTATAATGAACTGGCATTATCGCAAGGTGCAGTGTTTGTACATGTTTTAATCTAGTTTAATGAGATAGAAAGCAAGACCATCTTCTGTAATTGGAGTTGAGGAAATGCATTGAATATTAACTGGGTGAAAAGCAGACAAGCTCTGGGCCGCAGACATGTGCTTGTTTGTGAATGGCACCATGGGGCAAATGTTGTCAAGGAGTCGCCTAGCAAACATGAAGCTAATGTTTCCTGTTTTTATCTTCTTTATATGTAACTGGTAATGTGGACATTTTGAAGTGTAGTGGTACTGCTACATAGGACGAGCTGGAAAACAGGAAAGACAAAAACTTAGCAAGCAACCAAGTAAACCCTGAACTGAAAACCCCGTCCAGGCCCAAACACTGCTGGCATTTAATACGATGCTTTCACTTTTATCTACAGTCTACCCAGATTGCTTCAGTTAAGGTTAATGGGCAACATAGATCAATGAAGGCAGTTGGTATGGGGCTTAGGATCTTATGGAAACATGCTTCATAACGTTTTTCTGCTTCCGGTTGCTTTAATTGTTTCAATATTTATTTTCATTGTGTCAACAGCTTCTCGTGCCCCTCCTGCTCAAAACGGAGGGCCTTCATTCGGGTACCCCTCCCCAGGAGCTATGAATGGTTATGGAGTGCCCCCAGCTCCCTACGGGTACCCATATGCCCCCCCGGCAAATGGCTATCCTCCAGTACCTCCTGCCAACATGGGCTATATATACCCACCACCACCCCCTGCAGGTACACTAATGTCATTAACATATCAATAACATATGTAGCTTTTTTATGTGTTAACATTTTCATACAGCAATGAGTTTGTCAGGAGTGTTTTCTTTTTCTACTTTATACTTCTGCGTTATTGTCATTAATGTAACTGTGTTTGCTTCAGGAATGTACCCATCAGCCCCTGTCTTCATGCCAGAGCCCCCACCTTATCCTGGCCCCCCCCAGAATTGGGCAGCTCCCCCTACAGGTCAGTATGCATCACTGCTCCTGTCTGATGACAGCACTCTCTTTTCCATGAGCCTTGTGGGTCATGTGGTTTTATAGTCAGAAAGGATTCGTCTCTGACACTGTGTAAATTGGCGTGTGCTGATTTGCAATTTAGCATATGTGGGATGTGGACCAATCATCAGAGCTGCATACTTTCTTCAATGACAATGACACAAAAAGTGACCAAATGGTTAGTTTCATAATCCCAGTGTTTTTTCCTGTATTGCTTGATAGCGTTGTTCCTTTTTCCCCTGATGCTCTGGATAGAGGATGTGTTACTGTCATCTTATCATTTGTTTTTCTCATTGTTCCTGCCTTTCCAGGAAATCCTAAGGCAATGGAAGCTGCAGGCAGTGCCTACTACGACCCCAACAAACCACACAGTGTCTACATGCCCATGGTGAGATCACCAGCCTCCCCCAGTTCCTGGCTTATTCTGTATTTATGTTTAAATATGTAGTGTAACATCTATCACTCACCTATTTTTTTGTTATTCCTAAAGGACCAACCTCCACCCTATTCCCCATACCCACCCCAGTCTGACAAGAAGAACAACTGAGGCAGACAGGCAGTAGGTGGAAAGTGCTCCATGTTACTGTATAATTATGAACATCTTCTAATTTTGGGGAATGTGAAACCATTTAAATATTTTGCAATAATTATGCTATACTCAAAGCTGTCATTCAGTCTTTTTCGTCTAGACACAATGAACCTTCTGACCCAGATTGTGCTAATCAGCTTTCAGTGTGATCATGTGACTTGTGTTGGTTTGACAGGGATACAGGCTTCGGTCTGTAAGAATGACAAAATGGCTGGGCTCTGCGTTTGAGTAACGGGGAACCTGGGCCAACATGGCTTCTCTGTTTACCCCAGTTGTTTTTTTTTTTAACCTGCAATGACTCTGCTGCAATGTGCAGGTCTTGAAGCAAATATATTTATACAAAACACAATTGATAATTTTTATGAAGTAGAAAACTCGGCTGCATTGTTTTGAAATTGGCTTCCTAAAGTCTAAATACAGCAGTAGAATTCCTGTTTGATGTCAAAATGCAATGAATATATTCAAGTAATAAATAGCTTTTTCCTCATGTAATTCAGGCTTCATAGTTAATGACTGGAAAAATATTCTGTGTGACTTTTTCTTCTCAATTGTTTCAGCTACTTGTCAATTTATTATAAAGTGTATGAACTGGTTTAGTTTATGCATTTAGAATAAATGTTAAATTCTGTATAGATCTGTTAAGGTTTAAAAATCGTAAATTTCTACGACCTTTTCTCACTTAAAATTGTCTTTTTTACGATTTATTGGTAAATAAGCAAATACTTGTAGTAATTAATAAATGTTTTACCCATGACGTGTTGTGGGCTGAAGTATAAATGAAACTCCGTATTTGTACCTGAATATTTTATATATATAATGTGTGTGTGTGTGTGTGTGTGTGTGTATTATATCTCCTACAACTATAACAATGCACATCAAAATCCCAAACACAAACAGTCATAACGAGTCAGTGAGTGAGTTATCGACAGTGTAATTGATGTTTTGATAAATGCAAGGTGGACAAGCCAATGATGGGATATATACATAGTGATGCATAGGGCCAGATGACTAGGCAAAGACTATACATACATAGATGGCTGATCCTCTATGTTAATACTACTGTTGTTGGGAGCAATAGGTGTCTACCGGTAATGAGTAGGAAGGAGAAGACCGACGACCCCTGCAATGTTTATGTGATTTTTATAACCTACCAGCAGGAATCTGCAAACCTCATGCAGTGAGCGGGGGGCAGTGAAGTATTATACAGTCGGGAGGGGTGCAGTGAAGGTCATGCTTTATCCCGCTGTGTACTGTACTGTCTGTCAAGCCCACGCTGCAGCAGCTGAACACTTAGGAGAGGCAGGGTGATCACTGCAGCTTGTGACTTATTCCTAGCTGTCGGCAGGGTTTTGCTGGGGCGTGAGGGTGGTCTGGATTACCTAATTTCTGTGCTTGTAATGACCTGGGTAGTGGTATACTGCATATGGTATCAGTGGTAGTCTGTAAAACCCCATAGAACACTGCACTTTCCAAACTGCCTTTTCATTCGGACGTACTTGCTTGTTTACACAGTCATAACATCTTTGTTAGATTCCAAGTACATTTGACGTGCAGTAATGTCTGCTGTCTGAGCTGGCTGGTCGGTTCATAATTACAGTGCATCAGAACAGTTTTGTTGATGCTGCCCATGTCACAGCATACTGGCCTAATGTGTTTTGTGATGCAAATTTCGCTGTGAGCTTCATTACCCTTGGGTGCCTGATGTTGACAACGGCAATTGTAAACAGTGCTACCTGCGTTGCGTTAGAAGTTATAATCATTATGTGCATCTGGCTGAGTGTGATTTTCTAGTGACTTCAGATAATCACTCAGTTTCTTTGCCCGTTAGACGTAACGTAATTATTGTGGTGGTTCTAACAATAGCAATTCATTTAATATTTGACTATTCGCTCTTTTTTCCATCCCTTTGTCCATTAGTCATTGTCAGACAGGCTTGATGAGTTAACATAAATGCTAGTATTAAATGACTAAAGATGAACGTTTCTCTGTCAGAATCCCACCTTGCACCTACATACATACAGTCACAATGACGGTGAGAGCAGAAACACATAAGCAGCTTGTGAATTCTCACTCATCTGTATTGCATTCCTCTTTGGGGTGGGATGGCAGGATGTCAGTGTTAAGGTGACGGCTTTTTGGGATTAGCGGTCTGGCATTGTATTTTGCTTTCGTGTGTGTGTATGTACGTGTGTGTGTATTTAAGTACAGGTCTGTATGTGTGCACGTGGATGTATGCATGCTCACAGGTGCACATTTTGCCTGTCTCTGCCAGTGTGCAGGTTAACTCCAAGGCCAGTTCCTAGGTTCATACTCAAGGCAACAGCTTACTCCAAGGCCAGTTCCTAGGTTCATACTCAAGGCAACATTAGTCACCAAGGTGTATCTAGAATATAAGGGTCACTAGACATTCTGTTGGGTTTTAGTGGGTCAGTGCAAGACAGGAAGACTGCAAACGAACTGGGTACTCCGTCTTAAGAAGCTTGGAAAAACGAGGAGGAGCAGTGATGGTTGGAGATAGATTAATGTTGATGGATCCCGGGAAGATTTTGTTGGATTTACTGAGACATGCTATTAATAAAAGGCCCCTGGCTGCATGAAATGGTACAAAGTCAATTTAAACAACAATAGGGATCCAGCAGATTTGCAGCTTGAACCCCTAATAAAGAAAACTCAGGATCAAAATGGAAATCTTGGGACTCTGGCCAACAGCATGTCTGTCCAAACATCCGTCTTCTAGCTGCTTATCTTGGACCGGGTTGGGGTGGGCGGTGCCTGGAGCCTATCCCAGGCAGCACAGCAGACAAAGCTGGGGACCGGGTACACCCTGAATGGAATACTAATACACCACAGGCCACATACATGTATACAAACAGCCAGGACTGTTGTTAATAAGTAGACACATTTGTCTCAATGATACAGCCTTGAATAATTTTGGTAAATGGATTTTTAATTGTCCTAATGATATCAGCCAATGGCCATGAAGAGAGATGAATGCGAATGTTACACTGCAATGACATCATTCTGAGGAACATCACACGCTGCCAAAACTCACAATTTTTTGCAGTTTGTAGGGTCCTTCCTAAAGGTAGTGTTAGAATAATCTTCCAAAAATCCCACGATGGGCTTTGCGTGTCTGATTATATGTACGTGTCAAAAAATAAAAATCAATAGATGCCAGCTCTGGACAAAGCTTTGTTTTATGTGCAAGTTGATTAATCCAGGAATGAAAACACTAATAATTATTGTGGTTCAATATATTCTAGTCAAACACAATGGAATATTGAATGTAGAAGGGGGGTATTAAAGGAATTGTGCACAGCTTGCATGGAAAAGGTACGATTTATTCAAAACACCAATTCTTTAACTGCTATGATTCCAGATATGTCACATTGTTTACATTTACACACACTGTACGGAAAAATATTCATTCACAAGTACAGTGACGCTGTCAAAATGAAACCCAAAAAAGGTCAAGGACCTTCACATTGACCAAAAGCAAAGACGTTCATAAACTTTGTACATCTTTTTCGAGATGGAGAAGGCGATGACCTCTGTTGGCTGTGTGCCCTTAATACACACCATTTGCCTATCAGTCTTTATTTCCCTTGTATGTTACATTATCTCATCTGCATGATGAAAATTTGTTTTTATTTTGTACAGCAATCTTTATTTCACTTTTAGGTATTTTAATTATACTAGTTGAACAGCTTTTTAAAATAGTGAAAGAAAGCCAGGCTCCACAGCCACCATCAGTCGTTGTGCCTCCACCTTCATTTTTCCCATCCTTTCCCTCCTGGCTGTGTGGGCAGTTGGAGGCCCACTAATCTGGCCACCTGCTCTGGTTCTCGCTCCCCTTTGCCATGGAAGAGCTTGTGCAGGGTGAGGTGGTGTCGGGTCGATGCCAGAAGACACAGGTAGGAGTGGGAGGCATGAAGAGCTTCCCTCCGTGCGCGGCAGTGCCGTTCATTAGTGACCTGAATGTGAAATACAAGATGAAGTGTAAGTGTTTCTGAACCAGTAAAGTTACTTTGTAAGTTTAAACTTTTCTGGTTTAGTAACATGTAACATTAAAACTTACTAAATATCTTTACTGGTTTAGTAACATTTACTTTGTAAGTTGTAATGTTAAATGTTTTACATTCATAAACAGTTGCAGTGGTGCTAATTAAATATTTAAGATTTATGGAACGCGGTATGACAATATAACCCACCCACTTTATTGTGAAAACTAGATTCCAGCTGAACAACGCAAGCCGGGTTTTCACAATTACAATCTTAATAAAGCATAAAATCTGAAACTTCATCTAATTAAAGCATGAAAATAAATCTAACAGCGTCTCCTTTTGACCAAGATTAAGAATCACTGTACAAAACAATTGGCACATATACAATGTTTCTGGTTGTAAAAAATTGAAGAAATGTTAAGTTAAAAGTATAATGTTGTTGAATTCCCGTTCAGCCAGGTGACACCTAACCAGATTTTCGTTACGAAGCACAAGAAACAAGTATATTTCGTGTAATTTGTTGTAATTGCATTTACCGACATTATCTGGTTACCCCTGTTTTTAGTGTCTGCAGTAAGGTCCATTCCCGTCCTTGCAGTTATACGTGTAACGTGTAACACATGACATAGTGGGTCACCTTGAATCAATTCTAAAACATCGGCCCCTACACTGATAACCCACATGGCACACCGTGTCTTTCACGGTGTGCCATGCCATAGAAACTGTCTTTTCACGATTTCACTGAAAAACATCGTTTCTTCAACAAAACATCCGCAGGCTCCTTAGCTAATACACCCAGTAAGGTAGCACATTGTCTCATGGCGCTGTCCCTCGAGTTACCTGGTTTTTACGAAATTGATCCAAAACAAAGTTATACGCTAGCGTTTGTTTATATTCCGGTCCCTTAGACGACCGCAACTCCTTCAGGATACCGCGACACACGCGTAGCGGTGAAGACAACGCTGCCATCTTTAGGTCAGGTCAATCTGCTACCAAGGCAGTGCTGTAGATTATCGAGCAAGCGATCGGCGCAGACCCTACTGGCCGATCCAGAACCCTTGGGTTGTACTCATAGGCTCTGCGTATCTCGGTTAAAAAACGACGAATGCAGATGTTCATAACCATGCATAACCATTATGGAGCTTAATAGCGACGGAAATCCGCTGCTTGTAATATGAATTAAGTTGAACAATGTAGCATACTTCTTTGGTAGATTTAATAAATCCGGTTAGACTTTGATTAAAAAATACATATCAGTTAATTCTTGATTTTCATACCTAGTGACGATTATTTGTTTAGAATATATTATACTGTGTTGTTGGAGTTTGAGGGGCTACAGATATGGAAATAGCAATCGAAAACAGGTGAGCCTCCAACTACTAACTGCGATTTTAATGTATTTTATTACAAAAAGTGATGTATGAAGCATATTCATTTAAGGTTATTTAAGTTGCATGTTGTACAACCCCGTTTCCAGATAAAATAAAATTGTCTCCAGAAATATGAAAAACGTAAATAAAAACAGAATGCAGTGATTTACTTACATATACACCCATATTTAATTGAAAATAGAACAAAAACAACATATCAGATGTTGAAACTGAGAAATGTTATTGTTTTGTCAAATAAGCTCAATTTGAATTTGATGCCAGCAACACGTTTCAAAAAGGTTGAGTTGGGCTGGCTGACCACTGTATTGCATCACCTCTTGTATCAACACTCTGTAGACGTTTGGGAACTGAGGAGACCAGTTGCTGCAGTTTTGAAAGTTAAAAGTCCCATTCTTGCTGGATAGCCGATTTCAGCTGCTCAACAGTTTGGGATCTCCTTTGTCGTATTTTTCCGTTCAGGATGCACCTATAATGTTTTCAGTGGGTGATTGGTCTGGACTGGCCAGCTGTTGTAACACGCGCAGAATGCGGTTTGGCATTGTCTTGTTGACATATACAAGGCCTTCTCTGAAAAAGACGCTGCCTGGATGGTAACCGTATGTTGCCCCAAAACATGTAGGCTACATATCTTATATATGAGCATTAATGAGGCCTTCGGACATGTGCAGGCTACCTAAGCCATGGGCACTAATGTACCACCACACCATCACGGATGCTGGCTTTTCAACTGCCCGCTGATTAGCTGGTTGGTCTCTCACCTCCGCTCGGAAGACGCGGCGCCCATGATTTCCAAAAAGAATTTAAAAAATTTGATTCGTCATACCAGAGAAGTCAGCGACGTTTTTTGATCATGTTTAGATATGGTTTCTTCTTTGCATGGTAGAGTTTCATTCTGCATTTGTGGATGCAGCGACGAACTGTGTTTACAGACAATGGTTTTCGGAAGTGTTCCTGAGCCCATGCAGTGATTTCCACTATAGAATCGTGTCTGTTTTTAATGTAGTGCCGCCTGAGGAGCCGAAGATAACGTCTGTCCAATATTGGTTTTCGGCCTTGTCCCTTGCGTGCAGAGTTCTCCGGATTCTCTGAATCTTTTAACGATATTATGTACCTATAGATGATGAAATTCCCAAATTCGTTGCAATGTTACGTTGAGGAACATTATTCTTAAATTGTTGCGCTATTTGCCCACGCAATGTTTCAGAGAGTGGTGAGCCTCTTCCCATCTTCATTGTACAGAAACGCTGCCTCTTTGGAAGGCTCTTTGTATACCCGATCAACTAATTAGTTGTGAGATATTCAACCAACTGTTTTGTTTTAGCATTACACAACTTTTCCAGTCTTTTCTTGCCCCCTGTCCCAACATTTTTTGAAACGTGTTCGTGGCATCAAATTCAAATTGAGCATATGTTTGTAATGAGGCAATAAAATTACTCAGTTTCAACATTTAATATGTTGTCTTTGTTCTATTTTCAATTTTAATGTCGGTTTATATGATTTGTAAATCATTGCATTCTGCTTTTATCTACATTTTACGCTGCGTCCCAACTTTTTTGAAAACGGGGTTGTGACAAAGAAAAAAGTGCAGTAAACAATTTCATGTCATAAAAGAGATTAATACTTTATGAAAATTATGACGCTTTAATTAAAGATATACATGTTTATTACGTAGGTCATATTCAATTGATCACATGCAGTGCCTTGTAACGACATAACTATATAATTACATAAACTAAACTACAGTAAATGTATGTATACATGTTTTATATACTAATAATTTTCTTGATCACGCGGTGGCGCTATTGCGCCATTGTTAAGTCAAAGTGGTTCAGGAGAGAATGAGACCTAAAAGAACAAAACGTCGTGACAGTGAGACAAATTACATTTAACTGTTTGTTATACACATCCACTTTTATTTATTTTTTTATCATTGTCAGTCACAATCTGGCAGTACAAGGTACAATGCTGGGATGCACCTGGGATGGGATGCCAGTATATTGTAAGACACACACACGCACACAGATCGTCGATCTATATTTTTGTGGGTACTCTTCATTCATCCCTATCCGCACAACTCCAATCCTAGCTACGACAATCCTAACCACTACCCAGCCCTAACCAGTGCCACTAACTGCACCAGATTGTCACCGTCATATGCATACAAAATGAAATTTGATACCAAACATACTAAATTCAATAAAGAAAAAATGTCAACACACCTTATTAAATGTTACTATTAAAGCTTTGACCATTGAGATATTTTATCCGAGTAAATCTGCAATATTTAAGTTCAGAGTTTTATTTGTGTCGTACACTTAGGATATACATTGAAATGCCGTATATTCGGGTTGTGTGCATAGTTAACCGCAACAAGGCTTCATGTATGCCTTCAACGTGCAATTATTTCAGGAACAAACCCTCGTGCCCGACCACTACCTGACCTGCTGTCTCATACAGCAGTAGCCAGAAACACTATATCACCACCTAATTACAGCTACATTAGGACTGGTGTATAACAGTGCCGCCTTGCGTCGGTTCAGTCTGGTTTATACCGGTTTGAACTGGCTGCTCGGAGTTTTTTTTTTATATTGTGCTTTCCTCCTTTCTTCTCAGAAAAGAATTTGGTAGAATGGCATTGTATTTTCACTAAATGGCCAATAATTGGGAAAAAGCAGTTGCACACATGAGGTTAATATAAACAGATTAAATAACTAACAATCATGATAGAAATAAGATTTGTAGTTTTATTCTTTACTTATGTATCTTTCTAATCTGTGTAGTCAGATAACTTTTAAAGCACATTTGGTTTAAAACCAAGTTCACATGTATTAGCATAATATGCGAATTAAAGTTAGATACCAGCATTAATCGACATTCAACACATCTTACTCGTTTATGTGAAATATAAACATGACGCTAAAACAGTTGAATTGTATTTGCATGTTCAGGCAGATGACAGAGACACAGGAACATTCCTGTTCTGTCTAGGTCACATGGCCTCTCAAACTTTTTGATCAAAGGTTCGCACCAGATTTTTGTTCGAAGTCAGATGTCCGAAACAAATTTCAGTAAGAAAGCATTTCACGAACTTCAATGGATTAACAATAACTTTCGATATAGACAAAAATATATAGAACAAAATGGGAACCTTTAAACCCTTGCTAAACATTGGGGTGGGGTATGACGAGTTATGTGTGTGTGCGGAGTTTGCATTTTGTACTGTGCTTCAAATCACGTTAAGCTTTTTCACGTTAACCATTTTCATTCATAAGGTCCATTATCAGCTGGGTCCAGATTAACTTCTGGTTTGGTCCGGACTTTGAGATCCGCTGATCTAGGACATTATCTCTTTCCATCGATTTTACGGTGGTCATTCCAGCATCTGATAATATGGTGGTCGGCAGCAGGTTGAAATTAATCGTATCATTAGAAAGATAAAAAAAATCACACAGGCCTAGCTAGCTGTAAGAGTGTCTTCACAGTTGGCATTGACACGGAAATACAACTGACAACCATGATCTTCAAGTGGGAACCGGTTGGTTTCAAAAGCACTAGCTGCTATTATAGAGCTTCTATCTATTTTACTGATATTTTATAGACATCACTTTTCCTTTGTATTCTCGCGCATTAAAACATCTCAATCAGTGGTAAGCAACTTCTAGTCATACCAGCAACCGGAATCATTGCCTATTAATTACTTCTCCTAAAAAATTACATTTGTCTCCAAATAGATCATAGACCAGTGACTCATATGCAGCTACTGAATGAGACAACGACCCTCGAAACTGGAGGTAACCTGCGATAATTCTTTTATTAGACGATCAGAAATGTAAGAAACATAGCCAGCAGTCATGGTGTCGATCCCATAGCAGAATAATGGGTCGATGTAATCAGGGCTGAGTTCGAAATTAAAAAATAATTGTTGGAAAGTTTTTCCACAGTACGTGTAATATTTCTCATTACCCAAGTAAATGTACAGTAGCTGAATAAAAAATATTGATTATGTCTTCGAATTGAATGACGTACGTTGCAATGCATTACAATACACCCATGTAAAGCGCCTTTGGGTGACTCTGTAGTGAAAGGCGCTGTATAAAAATGAATTGAATTGCATGTAAACGGCGGGATTCGCACCTCGCATGCGCACAGGAGTAGATAAGTTGCATTATGTATTCGAATCCTGCTGCCAGGTCACGTCATTAAAAAAGGTAGGTGGTAGGCTTCAATAAAGATATTACAGATCAGGAATTGATTCAAATTCAAGTAACGGAAGTAACATATATTGTATATAGCCTACTTAATAATACTAATACTATACTCATTTGTGCTACTCCGTGCTACTACTTGTTTAATTGTGAATTGCTTCCTAATTCAACTTCAAATTTTAATTAATGTTAAGTACCTTTTTGAACTTGGATTCTCTTGTATGGTTAGTTCTGGATAATATATTGGTCGACCCACTCCTGCTGACCGGCGCTCTACTGGAGAAAGGTTTCAGATTAGGTATAGGCTATGTCTGGTTAATTCTCGCTGAAATTAGCCGTTTATGCAATAGATAAAAGTAGTTAGCTTTAAAAGTTCACTGCAGTGTTGAACGTTTCCTTCCTCAAGATAGCTACATGAACGTTATCTCAC